TTAATAAGTCAAATAAACACATAATAAGGATGGTATTTGCTAACAGCCAATATACAAGTTCTCGTTCATCAAATTGTTTGAATATAAAAATTGACTTTATGAGCATGTTTTGATAAAATTTTCAACATTTGCTAAGGAATTAGGAACATCTGCACCTATGTAATTTCTGTTTTATAACATAATGCTCACAAATGTGGTTAGCCGAAGGGAAAGTATGTTTGCTCCTATAACTTGATTGCTACTTAAATTAAATACTGGAGACTTTTATGGAAATTAACGTTTAGAAGTTTTACTCAGCAAATACATAATGATACAAGGAAAGTGCATCGAAATGAAGCATAAAACCGATATTAAATGTTCAATATATAAACATAAAATGGCCGCAGAGAAACGCTGCTTGATCCATTTAACATTAAAGTCACTCAACAGTTCATGAAGATACTTGAATAACGCATACGATGACTAATCGGATATTTCTGTGAATATGCATTTCACTTGCACTATAAAAGCTATATAAAAACATATTTTTTCAAACTTACTCTGTTTTACTCTAGTTTTTTATAGCCCCGCCTTCTAATGCCACGTGACTAAAATCTCGCCGGCCTACGTCATAACGTTGGGAAATATCTTCGGTAACGCGAGATCTCGTCAAATCTTGTGACATTGCTCATGGCCTAATTTCCATTAAAAACATGGGTTGGTATAGAGAACGTTGGAAAATACTTTTCGTACTGATCTTTGAAACATGGTATAGATACCACCTAGTGCATAAAGAATAGATCTTTCGATCTATGTGCGACATGTGTGAGAAAGTGACGATTTGTTTCTTAAATAACAGTTTGAAGTGCGCTCCGGGCGCGGGTCACATTTTCCCCGCATGTTATAGAGGGCCGGAGTTCTGACATTAATCGACGACAGACCGATATGAAAAAAGTCGATAAAACGTCAGAATAGTTCGGACTACTAACTACATTGAAATTGTGACACCCATATTACCAAAACAATTTATCGTTGAGCTCAACATGGAAAACAGAATCCAGCAGAAACAAGAAAGAAATGTGAGAACAAACCATTGTGTATATTTTTGATAAACAAACATTTCTACGAACATTCTGGCTATTTTTTTTATTTTTTATTTTTTTGCTGTGATTAACAGGTTGAATTTCGAAATGAATAATGACACTGTCCCAGTTTTTTATGGTCTCTGAGTTCCGATGCAGTGCTACAGTATACTTTCTCCCTGTTGCAATTGTTACCACTGAATCAAGGTAAATGGCATTGCGAAAGGCATTCAACTCTAGATCATCCGTTTTACTATCGTCTAAGTGTTCTGTGCTTTGTACGATGGTTCCTAAACAGTTAGAAATAGCTTTAGCATATTCCGAGAAGCTCCAAACTATATTCGCACTTCCGAATCACCGATATACCTAAACATAATTCTGTGTTAGCTAGAATATATTATAAAATGCTATGTTAAAGTATTTATTACATAAAACCATTGATGCTTTCTATCAATTTTTGTTACTGTTTTTAACCTCCTGGAAGATTTGGAGGTACATAATATGCTCTGTTTATTTTGGTGGCTTCTCTGTTATTTTTGACTGTTCGTATCATGGAGTTTGACTTCTGGTTTATTATTATAGATGATGAGGTATGTATATGATGTGAAAAAATTGGATTAGACCAGTCAGGTTTTTGTAAAGGAAATTATCATTAGTTTAGCCTGGTTCATTCCCCAGCGGTACTATTTGTATAAGAATATTCGTAAATGACGACTCTGCTATCATCACAACAGATGTATAGACCAGGAAAGGGTATCTTAAGTTTTTGATTGACTACAAAAGTAACCTACCAAAAGCTACGTACATTTTGTTGTATCAGCATGCTAGTTCACACATGATGTTTGTGTACTGTCTGGTGCTTGTACTAAATATTGATCTGGCGAAAGGATGAAGTGGTGTTAGGAGACTGCGATGATTATTCCACGACGAGAGGGGCAGGATCTGAGGTTCGCTATACATTAATGTAACGAGAAGTACAAAGGCGACGTCATACTGATTGTATCGATACTATTCATATAAACTATATTGCATTGAGACCAACTTTCCTTGATTTGACGGGTTTTCGGCTTACAATTATGTTCCCTCTGATAGCAAAAGCTCAGAAAGTCTTGGTTATTTTAAAGAGTCCATTCGGTTCTAAATATACAAGTACTCTAACGTTGAATATCTTACGTTGACCAATATAATTGGAAGACTCTAACGAATTCGTCCTAAGGGGGATATAAACAACCAACTGATGAATTTATGGGCATGCTTTATATCCCATCACGCAAACGCTTAATATCACACGGTGTCATTGAGGAGCTTGTAAGGCAGGTGTTATACTCGTGGGACAGATATTGGCAATGGCGGGAGTTGGCACGTGCTGAGAAGAGTGATGACGTGCCAATCCCCATCACAATCAGCAACGCGGAGACAACGACAAGTCAACACGCCCGTGTTCTAAAAGGAGATACAATAGAATTGGACTACGTCAATTGAAATCAGTGTTGTCTTTACGTATTTCTTAAATTTCTAACCATGATAGAAAAGAAATTTATACTCAACGGTATTTTCAATTGGAATTTTTGTTGTTTCATAAAAATAGCGCTGCTATATATTGACATGCGATTGACATCGTGTCCCTTGTAGCTACAACCTGCGAAATATATGACATTTTTTAAAGAATAAATGGCCGAATATGAATGGTATGTGAATGCATTAATGTAGTGAACTCCTCTTGACAAAGACTGAAGCAGTTCTATCTAATCAAGCTACATTGAACCTACCCCATACACTAAGTTACCGTAAAAATACATGTAGTTTTATATAATACTAATACCTATCAAATGTGTTATATTCGTAATGTAGTTACTAAATATTATATTATTGTAATCCTGTTAACTACCACAATGTCCAACTATTAGTATATACAGTATGAATTAAGTTACCGTAAATATGGGCAAAACGATTTTGTTTCTTTTGAATGCTGAAATTATTGTCGTCAAGCCTTGGTCGTAGAATGACGGGTGTCGTGGATATATTATTTTTCCTCCATTTACAGAATTATCACCCCTTTAACTGCTTTCGCCCCAGGTTTGAGATTGCCTGTCACACCCATCTAGGTAGAAGGAGATTTGAAGAGAAAACAAGAGTACTTCAAAGGTGGGGGAGGGGGTGTCATTAAATCGGCCTACGTCTTATAGATGTCTCCTTAGTAGAATGGCCCATGTCTCTTGAATTGGTCAGAAAAAAATAGAATCTACTATTTTTCATCATATGTCTGGCTTAGATTCCAACAAGGGGCAGATAAGTTAGAAGATAATTTTATACAGAAATAAGGTGGCTGTTAGCCAGCCTAGTCTTTCAGCGAAAGGAAACAACTACATGTATTAAAACCATTATTGATATAGATTATCTAGAGTACACAGACAAGGACGTAGATAGTTTCCGCTCGACTTTCAATCCACCCATAGTCCCCTATGAAGCAGAATATCATCAAATTTTATGTTTTAGAAAATATGCTCAAGTGTAAATGAGCAGATGTCTTACAGGCTAACAATATTTTGACTAATATCGGGATAAGCTGTAAAGTTGAAATTGACGCAATGTGTCAGTGAATATATTACTGAAACTCTACTTAATTAATGTTCGAAAATCAGTTAAAGTTTGTCTGAAAATTTGGTTAAAAATTCAGAATATGTTACTTGTAAAGCTGTCGAACTTCCGATATCTCAGAAACATGTGATTGACTGATATCTGGCAATGCCTTGTTATGCACGTTAACTGGAATATATCAAACACCACATTTACCTACAGCTGTTGTAAGTTCAGTTTTTATACCTTAAGTTAACCATGCTATTTCCCTCTAACGTGTTTTGTAGAGAACGTCGTTTAAAAGTTCCTATATAGTTGACAGTCACTTAGGATAAAACTAAAGTGCAATGTTAATGGGTTTTTTCGAGTAGAAAAAGCCCCCACCGAAAACAAATTCTAAAGTGCAAAATTGATGAGTGCCTAGTTGCACTCGTTAGGCATATAAGGTCATGAGACGTCCACATTGACATTTTACTGTGAATATTTTGATTACACGTGGGAATATAATTAAACAGTACTGTTAAGTAGGTGGAAATCATTTACATCTTGGGATATCTGAATCGATTAACGCACGAATAAATTACTTAGCGTATATAATAGAGGTAGATTAGTTCGATTGCCCCAAACGTCTTAAACAATAGGAGTCACAACGGTATTAAACACACGAGGTAATTACATATAAAACGATAAAATTTACAGTATTAAGCGTATCACTCGTATTACATATAACTCAATTAGTTACAATTTTTTTAATCGCCTTTATTAGCTGGTCAATGTTTAAATAATTCATTATTTGACCAATACAAGAGTAAGTAACGATTTTCATATTCAAACTCGTTTACAAAGTCTCTGTGAACCGAAAAAACAGGTTCACATTAATATTTTGAGAAATGGTCACGTGTATTGGATTCGACCAATGTGATTGCGAGAAAATAATACACAACTCCTGACTTATCTTAGGTGAATATGGATATTGGATGCTATTGAATAATTATTTCGTTACTCTGGGAAGCCATTAATATTTTCCAGCATGTTTGACCTAAAATCCGGAAGTATCTTTAAAAGATCGTATTATTTGAATTTCAGGAATATGGACTCGAAATATACTGCAAGCCGTGATATCAAATTGAAAATACATATAAAGTAAGAAATCCTTTTTGTATGCCTGAGAAAGATACAAGTAGTTTCTCCTTGTCGTTTGGATCAAATATATCAGTGATAATGACGAGAAGGAATTGTTCGTGAAGCATTCGTATTTTTATAATAATTGTAAATAATGTCTCTCAGGAGTGTAGTTGCAGATATATTACAATTCAAGTACAGCTCTTGAAGTACAGAAGGAATGGAGATCACGTGACTTACCTGATATACCGTCATATGTCCACCACAATGACCAATTACAACGACCTACAATGAAACGAAATATCATTAAGTATTATAAAACATGAGGTTAATAAATAATCTTCTCAGAAATAGACTACATTTTGTAAAACCTTATATTTTTGTGTCGTTGCTCAAATTCAAAAGAAATGTTTAGAAGTTTACTTAGCAACGGCGATATCCCAACTTTTATATTGCGTACATAATAGTGTTGTTGGAATATTAAGAGTATTTTGTAGTATTTTCAATAGAACAAAACAGTCAGATATCGAAAATGTAATTCAAAACAGTTTACTGCAGCAAGCAGTAATCATTTCTTGAGAAATATAAAGGTTTTATAGCATTTCTCAAGAAAAAAATAATCGATATAAAGAAAACTATGCATACAAATGCAGCAGGTAGTAAACCAATGGATGTCCCATCCATCAAGCTAGTTTTATAACAAAAGTTCCATACATATCATGTAGGAAATAGACCAAAGATATTCTCTTAAATCATACATTTCCGGAACAGTGATCGTTCAGATTATCAAATTCACTTTATTACAATTCACAGAATTTATTACGTCAACGTCATACCGATTTTGTTATCTAGTTTGATCGATGTTCGATCTGATTTTTGCATAAAATAAGACAAGCTTCTACAGCACCGAAGTATACCTGGAAGTGTTAACTAATGTTTTATCTGATAATAGGACTACATACTCCGATCTATCAGTAAATCAAAATCTATAAACTCCCCATAAAAAACATCAAACCGAATCCTGTCCTGCCGTACTAGGACAATGTGTCGGCATTCACGCCAGTGTTGACTCCTCTCTGAGTGGATGTGATAGTAAATAAAAGCGTTGCTGGTATAAAACCTATTTACTGTTGTTAGCGATTATTTTATTGCCCTTTTAACTAATTGTTGTCAATTTCCGTAAAGTTTATCGGTGCCGCCACCGTAACCGTTTTATTCGTTAATGGGCATTCCACATAAAGCATCTATCGTCGGTCCTTTCGCACTAGACTGAACCCATCACTGAAAACCTGTAATTACTATTAATAATGACATTTGGGTACTTATTATATAATTCATTTCACTATACTCACATGGGAAGCCACAAACTCCCATGAAACGAGAGATGAATTTAGTCGAAAATGCATTTTCGTCGTATTTAAGATCTAACGTTACAATTAAGCTAAAGAACAAATTTGTGGAAATGTATTAACGTATTTCCACCTAAGGATAAACTCTCCCGGAATGACCTCGTCATCCGGAAGTTTTTATCTTGATGGACTTCCTGTGTATTTGCCGAGAACTAAAGTGATTAGAAGTAAGTTTAGTAATTGGTTGTACATTCTTTTATTTATTTGTTGTGTTTTATATATTGTCGATGTAAAGAACAATAGGTTCAATTAAAGAAATGATTGTTCTTTTTCATGGAAACGTCGAAGAAAGTGTTCCTAAATGGAGTCAGTAAAATGATGTTAAAAGTTGAAAACAAAAGCCTAACTCGATCTGAACGAAGCTGATAGCCTATGTGTTAGCGTTTTCTTTAATATCCAGGTACAATGTATAGATGTATCGCCTGTGGTAATATATTTAAATATTTTGCAAGAAAACAATGACAAGAACAGAACGTTTTCTCCAAGTACAATCACATGATTCAGCATAGATGTTGCTGATCACTTCCTGTTGATGATACACTAAATAATACGTCAATCTGAAAAAATAATGTTTAAATGCTAAAAACTGTACTCAACTTTAATGTCTCCCACACTTCTTCTAAATCATTGACAAAATGTCATTTCAATTTTTTTTATCACTGAAACAAGTTTTAGTACAGATCCAAGTTTGTGTATGAAAACGGTTTCATGAAGACGGACTATGTTGTCATATGGACCGAGTGGTACCGCAAACAGACGAACTAAATCAGAGAGAAAAGCTCGCCAAAAAAGCTAGTAAGCGAAATTACAAAGTTCCTATGCATGGGAGACACTAAGTATTCAAAATAACCGAACGCCGAAGTCTTATTGAAAGGTTGATGGGGAATGATGTAATTTCAGTGTTTGTCGTTAATCATTAGAGCGATAACTACAGAAGAGAAAGAGGTGTTTGTCTTATCAGTGGACGATTGATTTCAATCATATATGTCTCCTATCTCTAATAGCACCTATTATTTCTTGTAGACACATTCGGAAAATTTCACTTGTCACTTATTTTGACACTCCTCCATTTTTGTTACATTTTACTGCATTCAAACAGGATAATTTAGCGTCCTGTTGGGAATAATTAAAATATTTCTATGTTCGACCATAAGTAGTTTGGAATGAAATATAATGACATTATTCATCAAACGTGTACAAGTTTTCTTTGACGAATGTCAGGAAATTTCTATTCCTTTTTTTTGTCACAGGTTTCTTATAATTTTTAAAACATGTTCTTTTGTGATTTATCAATGGCATTTGTAGTGATTTGTAACAGATGTTTCTCGTGTCGTATCACAAATGTTTAAGTGATATATCATAGACGTTTGCGGTCTTTTGATGTTTGAAGTGGCTTTTATTCTTAAAATTCATGGACACTTAACTGTGATTCAAGGGGAGTGCTACCAAGAAACTTGGTAAGAGTACAACCAAGTATAGTGCCTAGTATATAGGGGTAGTTGAATGAGTAAATGTACATAACTTGGCAGAATATGATGGTTGTATAGTGTATACCTAACCTGTGCAGATTATGAAGATATCTCGTGCTAGCATGAATGTTTTGTAAGTGTAATTGCGTGTGTGTTGCTTTTCATGATTATGTGTTTTATGAAAAAATCGTCGAAAAATAAATAATAAATAAAAATACAACTAGCAGGACTTTTGTACAAAACATTGCAACTATAATTCGACCATACAATGCGATACGAACGGCGAATGCACTTCATCACATGAACATAAGTTCATACAATGTGTAACTACTTATTTAATTAGTATGTAAACAAAACTACACGATGGCGGCACTGATATACAAGATTCATATGACTTAATACAAACGATGAACACGGTGACTTATTCCGTCTTTGCGTATTGCAGAGTTATCTTCTCTTGGGAGCAGGTATTGATTGTTACGTCACTTGTTTGTGAGAGTAACGTCATCAATTTTTGAGAAAACGACGTACTTTTCTCACACAAACTAATGACGTAACAATCAATACCTGCTCCCAAGAGAAGATAACTCTGCGATACGCAAAGACGGAATATCCGCTCGGTTCGAATGACAAATTCGGCCTTAAATTCAACTTCAAGTGTTATACTAAAATTCAGAACTCGACAAAACCGAGCAAATGTTACAATTAAGACAACTTTGTCGAGAAAGAACGATGTTGAGCACAGTCCAAACAACCAAATGACTGGTAAACAGTTTGTAGAACTAAAATAGAAATTTTCCTCTGTCAAAACATTTAAAATAGTTAGGAGGAGAAAATACACAACCCTACCCATTGGAGAAGAAAACACTCTTTAAAAGTTGAGTTAGCGAGAAATACAGTCGCAAGTAAGGATCCTTCATTACAACAAGAATACACAAGGTTGGAAGGTTAAAAGAGGGGACGTGGCACTAACAGAATCCTTCGAACACGACCTATCTTGTATCTAAGGCTTCCGAGTAGGACACGGGAGTGACCATAGACAAAAGGATTACAAATCGAACAACACAACAGTTCAATAATAAACCCATCTAACTCAATGTAAACTTTAATCATTTAGTATAGTGTACTGTTCAACATTAAAATAAAAACATTTTACTCCACTATAAAAGAAAATCAAGGACCTATTTCGACTGTGACTGTTCAGTCTGATCACCACATGAACTCAAACAGGAAAGATTTCAAGATACAGTGCAGGGCTACAAAACAGCTTCCATGCTTAAAGGACCTTGAAACTTCCAAGAATGTTCGTATCTTAGACAAAGAGGCGAAGACAATTCTCAAAATTACGAAAGGAATATGTATTTACGAAACGGAGACAAACACTTGTATCAATTTACAAAAAGAATTGCAACAACCCAATGGAGGAGAGACACTCTACCCACAAACTAAATCTAGTGATAGAAAATATCCTTTGTTGTCACCGGGTGATAAAAACAATGATCCATAATCAGTTCATACTTTTAGGAACTAACTGGATAAACATAATAAAAGCATCTCTGAAAATGACAGCTAAGGGAAATATGTTTGTATAATGGAGACTGATGAAGAGGACATGTAAGTCCTTAAGCAGGGATAAAACTATATGAAGGTTAAGTATATATACGTAAAGGTATACGGATGTAGGTATAGTTAAGAATGTACATAAACAAAGTAATGTAATTCATTCGGAACACTTTTTGACAGTTCGAACGTTTATACTCCGGGGTTTTCTGTTACACGTGTACATTGTATAGCGAAGTCACGTGTAAGAGTTACAAATTAAATGTTCAAGTTAAATGAAAATATAGAGCTAGTGTATGCTCAAATTTCTTGTAACTTGTTTTTATTCCCATAATTTCTTTCTCGAATTTTGTCATGAAATCACCCTTCCGCGTAATTCTTGAATAGAGGTAGTATGTTATATTACAATTTTCTTGAATTCATTTTTTTTTTTCAGAAAAAGGAGGTTCCACTATAAAAACGAATTCGTTATTCAACAGTCGTTTTTGATTTCTTGATTATTATTTTTATGGAAAAACTGCATTCCTTACACCGTTTTTATCGGTATTTAGTGCGCCTATTTTATATTCTAACGGCTTAGCGTCACCATAATCATCTATAATAGGTCGTGGACACTTCTATCAATCATACATTAGACCTCTCTCGAGATTTGAAAACTTCACTTCTTGAACAAAAAAAGGGGACTTGAGTCTCCGTGACATATTGAGAAATGTTCTATTTTCGAAACTGTGCGAAAATCGGCTAATCTATTGACGCCATATTCAACAAAGCTTCACTAATTTTATTTGTGGTGGGCTAGTCTGATTCCATCAAATCGACACTAGAGATTACACAACGAGAACTAACC